AGGTAATGATTTGTTTAATTTCACACAATATTTCGAATATTCTTCTAATTCAGATTTTGAATTATTCAGTTTTCTGTAATTTTCAAACTCATTTTCATATTTTAATTTCATATTTTGAATTAATTCTTCAAATTTCGTTTTATAACGTTTGTAAAAAATATTTTTCATATCAGTGAGTTTTTCTTCCAATGATGTTGAATAATATGCAAGTTGAATATCTAAATTTGTTTCATTATTATCTTGGAAATGTGTCAATGTATTTAATGGATCATTCAAATATTGAAAATTATTTCCGATTTCTAATTTGAGAATTTCATGATGATCATTCGTCGATTCAATACTTTTTACAGCTATTTCTAATTGATTCATTCGTGAACCAAGTACAGGTACGAACTTATAATCGATGTTTGTTGATTTTAATGAATTGAATTTTTCATTTAGAATTTGAAAATTATTTCCAATACTTGATTTAATACTGGATATATTGTTCGTTTGCTCATCGTCAATACTTTGTAATTGAGATTCCAGAATAGTTGAATTATCACCAATTGAAATCGACTGACTTTGATCTTCGGCAGATTGGATTTGATTTAATTGATCATGGAGTTCGAATGCATTTTGTCCAATTTGATCGAGATCATTTACCGAGGAATTTCTATCATGATCTTCGATATGATGATGATCTATTTCATTCAATTGTTTAAAATATTGTCCTAGTAAAAATCTTCGAGATTGACTATTTGTTGCCGATTCAGCATCATTTTCGTCACTTTCATTTCGAAAAATTTTCTTATACGCAGCTGTTACATATTTTTTGAACATTTTATCTAAAAATGAGCATTTTCAATGAAGAAAGAAATGAAATTCAAAGAATATAGTTATTGGTATCGGTCACGTTTTTGTGACTTGGCTCGAATTGGACGCTGAAGTCGTGATCTTTCATCTTTACAAATTGTCAAAATATGTTCGTACGTGTTGGCAGATCTATTTACGAATAGATTCGTTTGTTTTTATCTAAAAATAAAGAACGCCAAATTCGTGAATAGAATACTAAATTTCAAGTTTTATTAGAACAAAATAATAAACGTTTTGTTTGTTCTACAAAAAAAGGACACACTATAAAATATTGCCTTTAACAAAACTATCTAAATCGGCATTTAGAATATCATTGATAGACATGTATCGTATTAAACATACGAATAAAGGCCATGTTAAACTAATTTTCGAAGTTGAATGAATATGATTATAAAAATATTCATTTGTATCATGAATTTTCTTAATTCTTTGATCAACTTTGACTTCACTAACTTCCTCAAATTGTCTTTCGAATCGAACGATTTCCGAATACGAACCTTTTTCATCTTGTCGAGCAGTTCGACCAAGCATTTGTATATAAATATTTTCTCGTTTCGGATAATAGGTTAAAATTAAATGTAAACCTTTTTTGATATTTCTATCAACTTTAATATCAGCACCACGTCCCATAATTCTTGTTGCAAGTGTAATTGATCCTAATTTACCAATTTTGTGTATATTTTTATTAATATCATCTTCAGATTTGATCGATATGATTGTAGAATCTTTGAGAAATGAACCTTGAGCTTCGATTAAGTTGTCATAAATATCATCAAAATCCGATTTCTCGTCATTTTCTTTTTTAAATGAATCAGCAAATATTAATATTGGTTGGTCGCTATGTCTATCTCTTATAACCGTACTAGTTGTACTAGTTGTAAAATATGATCACATGCCGTACTTTTCTTTAATAATGTTTGACGATCATTAACAAGCTTTCGAAGAGTAAGTTTTTCATCGTCAATGGATAGCATAAGCCAATATCGATTTTTCTTATGCCCAAACTTCCTTTTATTTGTTAATAATAAGTAAAATGGCACGGACTGATGTACTTGTACAATTACTAATGTTAATCCTTTATATTTTGTTCTTGTTGCTGCAGTTATTGGATGCAGGCAACTATCTGTTTTCCAAAACGCAGTGGTGAATAGATTATCATCGCTCTTGACTGTGGAAATATGGAGGACAAAGAAAGCTACTAGGTTTATAGAATACATGGTTTTCTATTATAAGAACATATTAACTTTTCCAACCAGAATAAGTAAAGAGAGGAAAATATTGTGTAAGAGATGAGTGCTTTTTATGTTCTACTAACACATAAAATATGGGAAATATATAAATATACAATCTATTCATATCGTTGGTGATACCCTGTAACAAGAAAAAACGTTTTGTTTCACCAACTATCAGTGTTTATTAATCCTCCTTCATAATAACTTTTCTCTAACTGCCGAGTACCAACAATAACATTAACAGAACACATCATAATTACGTTTGTCTGTCATATACCATCGAAGAATTATTTATTCTCATCACAAAGAACATCCGCTGCTTCTTTTTGATATATTTCCCATATTTTATCTGTCAACAGAAGATGAAAAACACTCGTCTCTCGCACGATACTTTCCTCTCTTTACTTATTCTGGTTGGAAGGGTTAGTCTCTTTTTATAAGAGATAACCGTGTATTCTATACGTCTTTTGAACTGTTCAAACCGTTTTTAAAAGAATGCGATCCTTATTAAACGTATTCCCCAAGAACGGGTTCTTAGCGGTTAGAAACGCATTCAATGACAACTAGTTTGTGTTGAGAAGGAAAGCGTTCATCTTGTGACAAAGAAAGAAAAAGGTGAAGAAAATGTGCGTCATCTTTTTCTTCCTCATCTTTATCTACATCATCTATATCGTTCTCGTCCCATAGTCACAATTAATAACAAAATGTCCTATTACACAACTACCAATCCGACAATCAGCTGACAATTAGCTGAAGATGGTTTTATTTATGAACGTTATGCTATATGAAAATGACTTAAATAACAGAATGGTACAAGTCCAATGACACGTCAATCAATTAAAATTTAAAATTTAAAAACTGTCATTGAATTTTATAATGAGAACGATGATTTTGATTATAATTATCTACCAATAATATCAAAAAAATGTTTTTCAACAATATCTTTTGCCGTTCTTATAGTAGTGGTTGTATTTCAGTCGGTTCTGCTATTATGAATTTTGCATTTTATTATTTTGGTTACACTAAATGGTAGAGATTTCATATCATAATTACGATACTCAGACGAATAGTCAGATTAGGATAGAAGAAAGTTACTATTACCGATGTAGACCCTGTATCGAGTAAAATTCTAGAATACCAAGCATTCATAAATAACATCTTTGATTATTTATAAGGCGATCATATTCATACTTTCTACACCATTTTGTTTTTGGTTTAATTATACATTATTCGATAGAGCTTGACAAACTGATCAAGAATATCTACATTTTAGCTTTAAAAAATTGATTTTTGAATGAAAAATCTTCAAAATACTAGAAGGGTCTCAAATTTAGAAAAAATCTTCGATTTCAAGAATATTCAAGCATTTTTCTTTCTCACTCTTCTAACTTTCGGAAGGCATTTTTTCGGATACAGCAGTAAAAACTGTTTGCCCCCTAAAGTCAAAGGTCGACTCAGTAGTAACACCTTGGACTTCCCCTGTAAAAAGGTGCCTAAACAATACCTGATTTTCACAAATCAATAGAGCCCTGCAAGACCATCGAGCATTTTTTCGAGGCTCTTGGAAAACTTGCTCAAAATCCCCGAAAAACCAGTTTTGTAACCAAAAGCAATACAGATTCTGGAAGTAGACACTTCAGGCTATCTTTCCATGTGTGTATCTCAAAACCGATTTTTTGACCGAAAATCACCATTTCTGAGGGGGGGGGACCTTAATCTCTTTTCTTTCGATGCGACACATTGATATGATCAAATGTTATTCTTTCAACTGAACAAAGTAAAATTTAGTTCCCTAATGGATAAGGAAGAAGGAATTATGTAGACAACAAATTATGTTTTATTTTTATATGGCATTGATGAATGACAACGAGAGTTACATGAAACAGAGTTCTTTTTGCATTTGCACCTGTTGGTTTCACAACCACGACGGCAGTCACAATGAAAAAGTCCTTGACCACCAACTAATGATTCATTAGCTACAATTGAACGAAGTGGTAATGACGTACTATCTACTGCAGTTGGTTTTGAAATGGTTTCACAATGTTCAAGATCTTTTCGATTATATTTTGTGTTAATAGTACCACCACGACAACCAATACTGTGTAAACCATTATGATCTACATTGACGACCACACCTAAAAAAAACAAAGGCTTAGATCTAATTGAAACTGATAAATCAATAGACACAAAAATTGAAAATATTGTACAATGAAAAAGCGAGTATTACCTAATATTGTCAAAGGATCGACACGAGATCTATCAACTGATGGTATTTTCATGCGCACATTATCACCTATACGTAATGGTGACAGAGTTTCAGCTCGTGCGGTCATTCTTTTAGCTTGCTTTTCTTGACCAGTATTAGCTAAACACGAACAGTATTAAATTCGTACTCTAGTAAAATATAATAACGCTGCAATTCTTACCTATATTTCTATTTTCGTTTCTTTGGCAATCCAAATAACAACGTTCACATGATAAACTGTTTGTGCATGCTAGATGCACTAGTTGCGTACAATCTTTGCAAAAAAAAGTTTCTAACGTATTGATAATACGACACGTACATACATGACAAATACTATCATGCCCATCATTATTATTATTTTCAACTTCCATATCATTATCGGCACCATTATCAACGCTGGGCCCTATAAAAGAAAACATAAACAAAATCCTGGAGGAAAAAACTTCGGAAAAGTACCAGTTTTATCAGTATTCGAAGCACTGTTGCCATCAGATAATTCAATACCACCGCTTGAATCAGTATCACCGCCTGGATTAATACCATATTGCCCAATTAAAGCAAGCAACTCTTCTTCTTTTGTCAATCGATCAATTGTTGCTGATGATGAAGGGAGAGATGAAAGACCAAGTTTTGGTGCACAGCCAAACATTACACTAAATGGGGTTGTATTAATACCTGAAGTTGGTACATAATACGTGTGAAATGACATGGTTTTATTGAGAATATGATATTATTAAAACGTTACAACTGCGTCTAAACATACCGCTGTGATGACTGGTATTTTTCTAGTGCATTACAAACGACAACCCAGCTGACCATTTTTACTTGTTTTATTTTGTTTCATCCAAATGGCCAGTTTCCGTTCGACATCATCGTTTGCTTTTTCCACGCTCCCTTGACTTTGTGGATGCCGAGGTCTTCCATGACATATTTTCAAACCTATAATCATATGTATGAGCAACTAAGTAATAACAATGCAAAAGAAAGTACGTTAACTTACCTGGCCATAATTCTTTTACTTCTTCAACAATTTCATTAACAAATTCATGACCATTATCCGATTGCAATATGCATGGTGCACCGTACATACAAAACATTTCAACTAAATGGATCGCAACTTCTGCAGCTCTTTTCGATGTTAATGGGCGCAATATAATAAATTTTGAAAAATGATCTTGATAGTTCATTACAAAACGGAAACTGCCATCTGGCTTGGATTGGTAATCAATAAGGTCAACCTAAATGAAATAGTAAACCCAACTGAACGTGGGTTTCGCTGAAAGCAACGACTTCCGTTAGAAGCTATCCAGATTTAGCTTATCGAGAGACACCTTGATAGATTCAATCTTAACATACTTGGCTTCTTGACAAAATATGATGTGACCGTATTGGGTTTGTGACCACTTTTGGTAAACATATGGGTTTCTTTCTTTGACATTCTTCGCAAATTTTCATATAATGTTCAACACATTCTTCAGTAATATTAAAATATTTTGACTTTATTTCTTTTAATGTACGATCTCTACCACCATGTCCTATTCGTTTATGTGCTTCATCAATTATGTTAAATATTTCCGAGGTATTAACAATATAAAGTATATTGTCTTGTGAATTCGGACGACGCTTAATCAGGCGTTCGTCAATACCGATTATTAATAATTCAAATTTCTGTAATAATTTATAATCAGATGTTTCTTTTCGTTCTGCTGAATTATTAGGTAAATTGTTTAAAAACTTTAATCTATTAATTATTTCAATGTATCTTTCTGGTGTAATATGAATATTATTTTTAGATTTATGATTTTCAAGCAAATTATTAAAACGACTAATAAAAGCTTCTTCCATAATTTTATACGTAATAGCAACTGTGTTATCTTGAACCTATTTATAGGCTCTCAAACAAAAAATTTAACTTTTCAACCTACTAAACTGTCTGGCGTTTTTCTGTTCCTTCATTTCCAGATTAACTCAGTCTAATCATTTACAGCTTAATCGTAACATCATAATCCTTCTTCCTTATCCATTAGGGAACTAAATTTTACTTTGTTCAGTTGAAAGAATAACATTTGATCATATCAATGTGTCACATCGAAAGAAAAGAGATTAATCGAACATAATTTTAAGAAACAGATTACTAAATTTTACGTTTTTTTTCTACTCTAACTTCCAACATCAGTTGTCTATATAATTTATCAATTGATTATATTCCAAAAGAAATTTCAATCCCATATACTCAAATTCCCTGAGCACTATCAGGGAAAGTACAGATTCCCCAGGGAATGTGAATATTCCCTCGGGAATGTACACATTCCCTACAAATGTCAAGGAATGTATACATTCCCTGTAACATAAACACATGCATATGTTATTATCGGATACATAAACGACTTATACATCTTATTAAGTATTGACGTGCTGAACGTCGTTTTAATTTCTGCATACATCTACAACGACTACGACCTCTAGTACGACAACTAAATCAGCAACAGTTACAGCGACACTAGCTCCAGCTACAAGCAAGTCAGAAAAGCATGGTTTCCACGTTTAACACGGTTGAAAGAATTACTTAAAATTCTTAAGCCGATCATTCTTTGTTTGTGACGCTTAGAAGGTTTAGACTTCCGAGGACCTCCGTGGTTCCTTTTAATCTATTAAAAAGTTCTCCTGTATTAGTTTCAAGTGACGAAATAAGGCATTCGAGTGCGTAAACGAGATACGTCTGAACGCATTAGCAGAACAAAAATGGCCTAAACGTCGCAGGTCGAAAATAGTACTCGAACGCTTATCGGATATGGGACATCTGGGAGAAGTCTGCGATTAAAGTTGTTTTAGGAATAAGTATGAAAATTTCTCTAAAGTTCAAAAAACCATCAGCGTTAATATTCATAATATAAGAAAGTTAATATTCTGTCACACCATCGATCAAATGTATTCGGAAATTTGCTTTCAAATTTATCAACAAATTTCATATCGAATAATTTTTTAATCTCATCTTTTGTTTTAATATTATCCGCATTGCCACGAAAATTCAGGTTAAAACTATAAACTTTCTGAAGTATTTCATCCGAATCTAATATTAAACTATCAAATTCATCCATAATTAAAACGGCATTATTTATATTTGGTAGATTAATTGATGTCGATTCGGTTAGTGTTTTATATGCTTCACTTCTTAATAAAGTAAAATATGTTTCTAAATCTAAATAAATTACATCTTTATCATCAAAATCTTTTGTTGAACTTTGACTTGAACAATGCATTGATATAATATCAAAATATTTATAATAAACAATATAATTTTCATAATCTCGTTTAGCTAAATGATCATAACAAGTAATAATAAATATTTGTTGTCTTGGTCTACTGTTGCTTCGATTAAGTTCAATGATTTTTCTTGCTGTTTCAGCTATTGTCAATGATTTACCTTGACCAGTACCAATTTTAATAAATAAATTATCTTTACTTTTTTCCGGATCTTCAAGATAATCATAGGTTAATGCCAATGCACCAACTTGATTATGTTGAAGATATTTAATATTCATTAATTCAAATGCTTTCGTATTTGTATGAAGATCGTATTTAACTGAAAGTCTTTTAACTTTAACTTTTTCATAAATCATATTTGATGCATTAGGGTTTAATTCTCCAAACCATTCATCAAATTTATTTTCCGAATATTTATGATAACAATATAAGAAATACATTTTATCACCAAGTTTACTCGTCTTTTCTGTCCATTCAGATAAACTATTGACATCTCTTCGTTTCATAACCGTGTCAAATGTATTGAATATTTCTTCTTCTGAACTTGATTCAACTAATTTCTTAATATGTTCCAATCGATAATTTATAAAATTATCAATAATTATTCTTGCATATTCATTTCTTTCTTTTAAACTTTCTTCATTTGTTCCACTAAAACCATCTAAAATATATTCAATCGATTTTTGTCGAAGTTCTTGATAAATTTTATTTTCTTGATTAGCATTATAGAATTTAATTAGTCGATTCTCCGATGAAGATAACTTGGTAAATTCTTTCCGAACATCATTTGCGTTTTTCAAAAATTCTTGTTTGTCTTTGTCCGATGAACATGTAAATACTTTGAATAAGATTGACATAACAGTTTTCATAGTTTCTTCATCATTGTCACCATCATCTTCCTTTTCTTCTTTCTTTTCTTCATCTGTATCAAGATCTTCATAATTTTCTGTATCATTATGAATTAATTTAGCTGATAAATAATATGGAACACTAAAACCGGAGTTAAATCTGTATTCACATTGAATTCTTGGCCTAAATCAATTAATTTTTTCAGAAATAGATTAAAACACGGATTAAAATCACATAACTTGGCTAAAATAGTATGTTTATCTTCAAAAACATCTTTTAATAAATGTATATTAAATGATTTAGCCAATCGTAAACAAATTTCACCTTCATTACAATTAGTACTAAAGAATATTTTCAACAGTTTTATTTTAACATTTATTTTTCGTCTATTATTTTGTGCAATTTCTAATGCCGAAAGAATTGATGCTGCACATTCACAACGAAAATCAAATGTTTGAATATTAACCATTATTTTTAATATTTCAACAAGATCTTTTAACTTTTCATGATTATCTTCATCATAAACTCTTAAAAATTCTTGTTTTAATTTGATTGTTTGTTGCTTATGTTTATCATCTTGATCCTTAATATTTTTTAAACTTTGTTTTGTATTCATTTCATCATCACAAATGTGAATATAAAATAAAAGTCGGCAGAATACAGGTAAACCAGAAACATCATCCAAATCTTGATATATTAAAGATTTAAAAAAGTAATAATTAAAACAATATTTAACATTAACAATATCATCAGAAAAATCTAAATTTTTGCACACGTTGACCATAAATATCAGTTAATAATTGAAACGTTCCCGGTGCATTTTTTTCATTAATAACTGAATCTTTAATTTATTCAATATATTCGATTCCGTCGACACAAGAATTGAAAATAATTGAGAAAAATTTCTTTTCAATCTATTCAAACGTTTCAATGATCTTGGACGAAAATTTTCCATTTTATTTTTTATTGTTGCTGAAATCATTTTAATTTCATATAAATATAAATAAATACCTTTATCATAAATTGATTTGAACACTAAATCAATTAATTTTTCATCTTGAAATATTTTGATATGTAAATTCTTAAAATTTTCTTCATCCAATTTAAATATTAAAGTACTTAATGGTTCAATACATTTTTTATCACTGCATTTTATATCGGGATGTTTTAATTTTTGAAATATTTTAATGAATTTATCACAATAAAATTCAGAATTATTTGTTACACTTATGTGAACCATGGGATTTTCAGCAAGATTTTCTAATAAAATTTCAGTTGAATAACCTCGATCAGAAACTATTTTTGTCAAAATTTCTGAAAAATAATAATCAATATCAATTGGTTCGGTGTTTAATAATTTTGATTGTAAAGTTTCTAATTTAAAACGATATTTATTATCATCGAAAGTATTTACCGATGATTCTCGAACGCATGATATATATTTAACAATATTATCATAAAATTTTTTCACAATACCTAACATTTTCTTGTTATCAACTGATTGATTTTGATTGAAACAGATAAAATTCGGCATTTTCTCTTCAACACCTCGAATTATTAAATGACCAATTTTGTCTTTATCCTTTTGTTTTGAAATTTTTCTTTCGATTTTAACATTAATATCTTCTAAAGTTTGAACATAATTTCGAAGTATTTTATAATCTTCTCTTATTGCTGATAAATAATCATCGATAATTAAAACAACGTTGTGATTTTGTGTTGACTTTTTAACATTTTCTTCAATTAAATTTTTAAATGCCATTAATTGATTTACAAAATGTATTTGTTGATCGATATCTTCACCTTTTCTTTCATATTTATCAATTACATCTGATAATTTAACAAATAAACGTTTCCAATATTCAATATTTTGGATTAATCTCTTTAATTTGTCTTGTTTATATTTCAGATTGCTGCTCAGCGGATATGTCTTTGGAAAAATGAATAAACTTGTTAAGAATTTTAATTTTAATATTTCTGGTATTAAATCGATTAATTCAATGGGTGTTATATCATATAATGATAATGTTGATAGATTAACAAACTGTTTACTAATATCAAATAGTTCACTGAACAAAGTTATTTGTTTAACAGTTACTCTATTTGTTAATATAAAGACTTTTAACTGGAAACACACATTTCCAATTATTTGCGAACAATAATAATCAAACTGTGTTTTTGATATTTTTGTTAAATTCACATACATTTTTAAATGATAACTACGAATTAAACTACTGTACCGACTATTGAGGTTATTAAATATTGTATATATTTCAAAGCATGTCAAATATTCAAATAATTCATAATACAATTCATTTGAAATCATTTCAAATTTTGTAACCATCGTTATTTCGTCTAAACGTAAAAAGACAGATGATATGTAATGTCGGCTCGATTTGTTACCAGATTGATCTCTGGCTAGTGTGATTGAAAATTAGCTTCTACTGTGCTAGCTGAGAGAAAAAGGTCAGTAGAAATAGAGTTGCTTAAAAATGGAATTCGAATGTCCGGTACGATAATTATATACGATTTGCTCATAGAAAAAATGTTCCGATTTTTAGTTCTTTCCTGTAAAGAATATGAGCATTTTCTAAAAATAAAGGACTAGTTCACGAATGAAGGACTCACAAATATCAACTTAACTTGTAGTAGAGTAACAAATATCGATATACCACAGAGGGCATTTTTCCATAGCACAAGCGGACATCTGGTTTTTTTTTGAGTTAAAGAATGATTATTTTCGCGTAGTATGATATTATTATGTGTCAGATATTAATAAAACTAAAAAGACTTGAAATTTTTTTTCGATAAAAAATTCCTTAGGGAAACCCTTGCCCTGACTTCTTGTCAAAAAATATTTTATTTGTAAAATTAATAAATTATACATCATTCGGTGCAGTTTTTTATGTTGACTCCAAATATCACATTAATTTTCAACAAAAGTGTTTCTCGGCTGAAAAATGAAAAATACCTCAAAGCCCAGGGTTTTCGGAAGAACCTATAACTCGACTTTGTTAAATATGTGGATTTATGTGTGCATCCACATTAGATGCAGTAGAAGTTGACGAACATTTTGAACTAATTTCGAGCTATCTACGGAGGTGGATACCTCATTGCATTCATGACACCTGTTCCCAGCATGTGGTCATCGGTGAAATTCTTTTTTTCCTGTTCACTTTTGGACACAAATCGAAATAGCTTTTTACCGACGTATAGCTAAGAATGTCCTGATTCCGAATACATCAATTTCAAATATTTAAATTAACACAATTTCATGAAAAATCGATTTTTCCTTAGATATCTCTGATATACGGTCTAGTTTTGCCGTATGCATTATCTCCGAAAGTTCGTTACTTGGAACAAATTTTTTGCATCTTTAAATAGATCATCTATCTCAGTAACTTCGACACTATTTGAATTTCGAAAAGGCGTACTTTCGTTTACATCAGCCTTTTTGTCGTGAATATACTCAGACGAAAGACTGCTATATCTATACAAGATCGGGGTACCAACGATGAATCGATTGGTATATAATATTTTCAGATTATTTAATGGGGAAAAAAAATCTGTTCTTAAAAGTGCATATTATTTATCAGATTATAGGAAAAAAATCTTTTCTTGAAAGATACGACATTCAGAGTGAAAATCAGATCTTCTCTGAAATATTTTCCACTCATTCTCGAACAGACGCGCAGTAGAGGTTTCAAAAAAATTAATCTAGTACTTGTCAATCTTCTCCATATATTTGATAGTTTCGTTCAGTAGAAAAGAATTCACAACGTTTTCACAGATATTGGATGTACATGTTACGATAGGAGCATAAATGGTATACTTATCTTGAAGCTGAAAGTGCAATTCTGATGTGTTAAACTTCCATGAAATATAAATATCATTTTGTATTGTCTATATGTTCAATCAGATGAGAAGTAGAAAAGAATAGTACTATCCATTTCTTCTAAGCTACCCCGTTATGACGTTGGCAGTGTTCAGTTGAGAAAAGGAAAAGAAATATCGTGGACAGCGGACGGAGAATGTCGATCATATACGAATAAAATTAGAAAAAATTTATTTCCTTCTTTTACCCCGTATATGCTCGACCCATCTCACTATATTATAACGCTAACGGCACATATGAATAAATGAATACTGTAAATCCATAGACTCTCAGGCTTTCCGACTGTTTTCAGATGTGGGAAGAGCTAGAAATTTTGTTTCCAAGAAAGTGGTTGGGGAAAAAACGTTTTCCAGATTTTTTAACAGAGAGTCGGTAGTGGAAAAAGTAAAAACTTTTGGCAGAAACTCAAGAGTTTTTTTGGGAGGAGAAAGCACCCCTGATCGAGAACCCTGGACACTCTACCAGAGTTTAGATGAGCTCACTCGAATCGTATGAGGGTTTCAGAGATTAATGATATGGTCATAGGATTGACAAATGTCACGTTAAAAGAGTTTCAGAACATCCGCACAGCACACGACGAAAGTAGACAAAATATCATTTTTCAGTAAAATTCACGTTTTTGTATAAAGTTGATTGTTAAGCTATACAAAGTTGTTTGAAGATGAAACTTTCAGGCTATATTCTCCAAAGGGAACCAAACAAAATTTCTGCTGAACAAAACATTTCAAAATGTAAAGTGAATCTATAGAAACCTTTTAAAAAATACAAATTCTTTTCCATATGACCAGAGCAGGTACATGACAAGGAAGAAATGCAATCTTTAAATTATGATATTTGTAATCTAGGCATTATTTTATACTATTCATATCATTTTCAGCTTTACCAAACGCAAAAACGTGTCCGTTAAAATTTTCACCTGAAGTGTTTCTCAAGTATTCCAGCTAAATTTTCTACGGAATCGTTTTTGTGTTTGGAAAAGCTGAAAATCATATGAATAGTGTAAAACAACATGTAGATCACAAATATTATAATTTAAAGCTCTCATTTCCTCCTTGTAACATAGCTGTACTGGTCATATGTATCAAATCCATGAAGATATAAGCTTATTTTTGTATATTTTCATGGTATTTCTCTTTTCCTTACTAGTTACATCATAATGAGAATAAAAGAGAATAAACTTACTCGTCAAATTTTCTAATATCAGTTGACGTATTCTGTTACAGTCTTGAATTGTGAAATATGTTGCAATTGTATCCGTTGTACTCATAGCTACTTTATCAATGAAATATCTTAATGAATGGACTAAGCCACATTTTTTAGCTAAAGATAGGAAAAGACAATTCCACCACATTTTGTTCGCCAACTTCATTTTGACTCAAACTGTTTTTTACCTTGAAATAACATTGAATTAAGACAACCTTGCGAAACTACCCAATAATAAAAATCAAGAGCAACAATTAGTATATCCAACCATTGATAAGCAACATTGAGACAAAATTGGTCACTAATATCGGTCATAACAACATTATTAGCTGGATCAGCTTTGAATTTATCTTTTTGATCTTGTGAACCCCCAAATCTAAAAATAAAAAGTCAAATATCGCACAAATTGATCTGATGAATACGCATACAAAATTCAAATTACCTTTCAATATAATCGCCAACACCGTCAGTTTTCACTTTGTTTTCCAAATATGCTCGTATTGTTCTTATACCTGTAAAGCTAAAAAATTAAAAACATTTGATTGGCCAAGACCAATGCTGATTCCTTTTATAAAATAATCTGGTAACAGCAGTACGAATGTGCAAACAAGATCAATACATTTCGAATGGTGAAAAAATTTTTTGCGGTCCTCAATGATATCTGGACGTTTGTGGCCTTCAAAGTACGGTCGCTGACTGTTTGCATCGCATTTGCAGCCTCATCTTCTCAGATTCACTCCCCAGATTAACAAAAGACATGTAAAACCGTAGTCCGTTTGAACCCTAGGACGCTCGTCCAAGCTCTCAAACGGACTACTGAAAGTCTCACTTTTGGACGGGATGACGGCGTCCGGACGCCGCCATAATTGTAGACGTATCTGGATGTCACATCCGGACGCCCAGTCCCACGAAAGCAATTGCCATCCACAGAAGAAATTCATAGACAGGATCAGACGTCTAGGACATGGTCGCCATTTTCAATCTAATTATGAGAAGAGCTAATGTCTAATGAGAGAAGACCACGTCTAATGCTATTTCTACGAAAGCAAAAATAGTGTTCGCTCAAACATTAGCTTCCTCGAATATGACAGATCATGTCGGATAGAATCTTTGGCATTGAATAAGGAGTACAATAGATTAGCTAATCACTATCTTTCTTAAAAACAAGGAATATTTCACTCTTTGCAGAAAAGTAAAAACATGACGGCCAAATATTAAGTTGAGGCAAAGGGCAGCTATTAGAAAAAAGATTCTTGACTATTATGGATATTACACAGGCAGAACTACTGTGATTATTGTAGTTCCGATGCACCGGTAATTTTCGGTTAAAATATGCATAAGAAAAGAGAGCTCACTATTGGATCAGAATATGCAAATTGTAAAAATCGAAGTGAGAGCCTATTCTTGCTAATCAGTTTTATTTATAAAAAAATAATAAAAAAGATAACAAAATTAACTTGCTGTCTTATTTATCTAAATCGGTCCCTTCGAGATGACTAATGTACGTATCACATGCTAAAAGTGTGCCTGCAAGATAATCCAACGAATTATTTAAATGAGAGTAGCATGGCTAGAATCCTCCCAGGACAATGAAAACGAGATAAAAATTGGCTAGTTTATGGCTTAGTAATGAGTCATTGACTGTCAATTAATTCGCCATTTTTTGGTCATTAATGGCCATCTTTACATCATTTTTATCTCATAAATGGTATCGTTAATCGGTCGTTTTTAGACCGTTTGTTTTGCTAGGTAAAAATGATCATTCTATAATCAATCTGAAATGATCATTTTTCAGACATTAATGAGCCATTTTTAGATCATTAATTGGATAGTCGATAAACACTCGTTTTCGATGATCATAAATACATCATTTTCACCTCATTCACATAAATTAGTTATTTTTATCTCATTCGAATGATATAATTACGACCGTAAAATGATGCCATCGGCTGACTCAATTGTAGGAGTCATTTTGCGGTAGTAATTACAACATTCGGACGACGTAAAAATGGTCAGGCATGAACAATTAATGACGTAAAAACAAGGTACTTATGTTCAATAAAAAGCAGCGCTTTTACCGTGAAATGTATTTCCTTATATCGATTTCTGCCGCAGTTTTGACACACTACATGAGTTTTATTGATCTGATTCTACTTTTTATACACGTTTAATTTTCTACACTAGTGCGTGATCTTGTCTCTTATAATACTAGGCTAGATTTTAAGTTGTTGAGTTAATAACGACTAATTTAGCAAAATCTAGTTAGGAAAAAGACCAAACATAGCTTCAACGCATCTATAGTTCAGATGAAAAGAAAATATCGATCAACCGAAAGGTTAATAAGGGATATGGGTATGATCGATGGATCTAAAATCTCTCTTTAGAACTTTACTAAAAAAACAAGAAAAAACAAACAAACAATTTCTTTATTTATTAACAGAGTATACAGTACAGAAAAAGTAGAAATCGGAACAGTGCACGCAATCTTTTTGATCTCAAAAGGTCAATCATTCATAAAAAGTAAGCCCTTCAAAGAGAAAAAGCGTCTGTCGCTTGTTTCTTGAGGTTGCTATGTTGTGTACTCTTGTTTTATTACAGATTTCTATCAGTCAGCACTCATATAGCAACTGCACTCTAAAAAGAAAGGTATCCTACAAAATTAAAAAAAGGGTATCAGCATTTGTTACTAATAAGAACCAATTTCCGTATCTTAGAACACCTTTTTTGGTTTTCTAGGTTATGTTTATGGGTATTTCTGATCCCACAGAGCCAAAAACGGCTCATACGTGAAGGACATTCCGAAAAGTGTTCTGTGGTTTGTCCTCCCTGCCCCGCGGGTGACATTAGATAAAAGGCAGTGTCAAAGTATAGCTGAAAGCAGTTCCTATATCTGTCAAAAATCGGACTACAAATGTAAAGGGAATATGCTCAGAAATGAGGGTATTTCTTTTTCGAAGTTGCTTAAAGGTGTTTTGCGTCTCATATGATATAGCGCCCCTTCCAGATTTGAAAAATGTTGTAACAAATTCGACTGAATCCGACAAAAGAAACACCTAGCAAAGAAAGCAGTCCGGTCATCGCCATCTTTGGTGCGACCACAGGAAACAAAAGAGAGAAAGATTTGGAAATTCGGGAAACAAAGAAAGAGAGTTTCTGAGGAGAAATAAAAAGCGTTTCATCGTGCATAAAAGAAAACTTAAAATAAATTCAATTGAAATAAAAAATTTGCTTCTGTGTGGAGGCGGAACTGCTTTGCAGGCAGTTCAACGTTCTCCTTTTTAAATCTAAAACAAAAAAAAAACAGCCAAGAGCGGCATTTGAAAGTCCAAAATGAGAGGAGTGAACAAAAACAGAAGAAGCAGGATCTAGCCCGCGGAGATAGAATCCCTCAAGCCCTAAAGACAAAATAAGGTTATCATTTTTAGCAAATAAAATCTTCTCAACAAACAATACAAAAAATGGATGGCAAATAAGATTCTTCTACAGATCGATCACACCCCTTACTGTGCTGTGTGAGTGTGTGATCAATCTGTAGAAGTACCTATAATTACTTTTCAACGCAAAAAGTAACTTAACATACATCGATTCGAAAATCTCGAGCTTACAAAATGTAGAAAAAAAAGCCCAGTAAATTGACAGAACGATCCCTAAAGGACGAAAGGGGTGAGAAGCGACCTAGTTCAGCAAGTTTTCCATTGTTTACAGTACGTAAAAACAGTTTTATCAAGCTCTAAGAGGTTAACGTGCATGATTCCTTGGTTTTATTCTCTTTTACCCAAAGCATTTCAAAAGATAGCACAAGAAAAAAAACTATTACCGCGGTGTTTGCTTCCTCAGAGTGTAGAAATCACGATGAATAAGAATTTTTTTACAAGAGCAAAAAAATTTGCCTTCGTGTAGTTCTTCTAAAATGCATTTTCCCTTGTCATTGACTTCAGTCTAGGATCTGACAGAATGGTTATTTGTGTGTCTGTGGTCAAAATATGAAACATGACTAACAGTCATGGATTTTCCGTGGATAAGCCAATCATAAGGGAGAAAAATAAATCGACCCCCGTCCTTTTAACAACATTATGGGAAAAACGGCAAAGTGCTGCTAAAGCTGAATGTGCACGAGTAAACCCAGCATTTCTGAAACTAACTACCGGGTGTTCCAGTGGAGATGAACCTTTGAGTATTTCGATAATAACTTTTTTTCCTTTAAAGATACAAAAAAGGTTCACCGTTTTATTCTCTACAAAAAATATATTAGACAATTTTTTACATACGGTAAAAATAAGGAATACAGATGAATACTGTGAAATTTCAATCTCTACTACTTTCGAACTCAAGGTACAAGGAAAAGAAATTATTCTGAACACGATTCCATGCACGGAAGTGGAATCGAAATATATGCTCTTGTGCTTCGAAGTGTCATCTTTCTTTTCGTGTGGCATATATTCGCTTGAAATGGATTTTTCTGACACCGAAAGCGCTTTTATTGAAATTCAACGAAAAAGAGAAAATTTGACTTCTTCGCACTACTACAGAAAAAGAAATGAAACTATTAGACTTTCTCTTTTAGGGGATAGAAGAACTATTTTGCTTTAGAATAAAATAAATCCAACCTCAAAATATAGTACTTTAGCTGAGTTATAAAGAATTTTCTATACGCCTCAAACATGCAGGTTGAAAATGATCATTTTTAGCGAAATCGATAAAAAGAAAACGCCTTCTTCCTCCATCACTTGTGATTATGAGAAATTTTAAATATGGTCGGTTGACAGAGCTTTTCAACAGCTACAAAATCGCCATCTCCCTAGTCATCGATTCTTATAAAGAAATCAGACAAGAATCTTACTGAAAACTTATATGGAACCTATAAGATCCAGGTAAGAATCTTATCACATTCTTAGAAGATTTGTATATAAGGAAACGCTCGAAAGTGCCACGAATTTCGCAGGAGTCTTATAAGAATTTGATAAGAGAGTTGTAAGAACTTCATAAGAAACTGCTAAGAATTCTGGTGTTTTTCTTATCTGTCTCTTATGAACATCTTATCTGGAAAAGCTGCTGCACATGTTGACGTAAGAGGAGAACAATTTTATTCGTTTTTCTATGACAACATCTTGGTTCCAGAAAGGTAGCTTCACGACTCGTTCTAAGCCTCTACTGCCTGTAGACTAGCGGTACTCTTCACTGCAGAAGGCGAAGAAAGTTCGAAAAAATTAAATTACATACGAAGAAATGTTTGCATAAATTCCGCTTTTTCAAACTGATACGAAGCTTTCAATCTTTTTCCTCTATAAAGGTGGCATTCAGTTCAGACTCCCTAAGCGGTAGAAGATAGAGCAGCTCGAGGGCTAGTACTATACATCAAAATCCTTTGCATACCTGTCCTGATGAAGCACTAGAAGCTATCACAAAAGAACCTTTTGTATAGTACTCACATGAGTCGCCGTCGGATAGCAAGTTATTACACTCATTGCTACACATCAAGATAAAATAAGAATAATGTGAAAAGTCTTGTCACTTTCTTATGAAGTTTTCACAAATCTCTTATCAAATTCTTATAAGACTCTTACGAAATTCATGGCACTTTCGAGCGTTTTCCTATATAGGATTATTGTATGATTTGGATAAGATTTCCATAAGAATTTCCAAAAACGTTTTCTCTAGGGCTTCTGGATTTTCATTTCGTAAAATATAAAGGACTGAAACTTAAACAGCCGTCTTTTGGATTGGAAAGTAGAGGTCTGCAGGATCAAATTTTTTTGGTCCCGGTCCCATCTCGGTTCCATGAAGAAAAAAAATTTTGGTCCCGATCCCGTGGTCCCGTAAAATTTTTTTAAAGTAACAGATAGTTTGAAAGGCAGCGCGTTGTA